GACATAAAATTATGCACTTTCATCCATCTAAGTAAGAATTTAGAATCCAGAAAATACTCAAAATTAAGGTCCAGAGACATAATACAAATCCATTTAGCTAATTTTTCCACCACAATCATATTCATCATCATTGTGTTCATTCCAAATAGTGGTCAAAAAAGCCAGATATCTTTCATTATGCAATCCGTTACTTGCATGTAAGGAGATCCACATAATAGCTACATAATGTATCTTTCTTGAGGGAGGTTTTGCATATGAACAATGACCATGTGTTTTTCAAATATATGATGGAACTACCACCAGAAAAGTAGGCCTTACACATTCCCAGTTCATTATACAGAACCTAAAATAGCAGCTCATTCCTGCATCCTCCCAAACAAAAGAAAAATGCAAAATAAAAACAATTCCCCCACAGATCAGAAGGTAATGGCCAGTGGTCAAGAGGCAGGCAGCCTTACCGTTCATAGCACTGCCCGCGCACTTGAATACATTAGACACCAACCACAGCAGGGAGTTTTCATTCCTTTATAGTGCATCCTAAAGTGAAAGCAAAGCTAGGATGCAAACCCAGTAAGTCTTTATACAAAGAACATTGAGCAATAAAATAAATGAGTCCTTTCAAAGACTTTTTTTTTAATAGAGATCTTTCATACATAGTTTTTGTTTTTTTCTTCTTACATCAGCCTTTGATGAAAGCCAAGGTATTATCTTAGATCATAGTTCATTTCTATGAGGGAAATTCTGTAAATGGTCAGAATATTACAATGTAAGAATACAGTTTTAATGATCTAGTTTAATTAGGAAGGAAAGGCAGTGAATCTTGAGAAATGAATATTTTATGTGTGTTCTTTATGTTGGTCCTCTTAGATGTCAGTTTTCTTGGATGGCAGGTAATTCAAACTGAGTTTCACACGAGTATTTAAAAGAAAGGTATATCGATATGCTCTTGCTTTCAGGCATGGCAAAGAACAAAGTGATGTAATGTTGTGACTGGCTGACAGTCTGGCCACAATGGGGATGTCACCCCAGCTTCACAGCTTGGTGCCTCTCCAGTATTCAATCAGAGATACAGTTGAAGCTCCAGGGTGATGCTTCATAACACAGAAATGGCATCTCCTGAGCCTTGAAAACGTGGAGGCTGAGTCATGAAATGCTTGCTTCTAGTAAATGAAACTCTCAGGTTGAGCAAGGCTGATCTGACTAACCCTACACAAGCCAGGAACATGGGGAAAGCCTCCAGTCAATGAACCGAATCAATTGGTTGCATGGAATTGTTTAGAGTTTCCTACAGAGTTGCTGTACATGGCCTCTAAAGGGTAATTTGTTGTTTTCATACACTTGATACTTAGAGCTTCTTACTGGCAGTAACAGGCTCTCCTGCTTCCTCGGATCATCTCCAGAAAGTAGGGCCATGTTGTCAAATATGTCCTTTCTGTTACAGCTGGGCATTACATCCAGTAGAACTAAAACTTACACCATACCGTCCTAATACCAATTTCAAAAGGAAAGAAGCATGGAGTTCAAACACAATTTTAGACGATAGAGGAGAGAAACTATTAAATAATTTGGGGAAATGTTTAATAAGAACATCTATATTGAATCATAAAAAATGTATCTCTATGATTGACTTTTGATTATTTTCCAAAACTCATTAATATACTATTATCTGCAATCATGGAGATTTCAATGTGTCCAGTCATTAATTTTTTAGTTAAAATTTAAAATGATGAAGGCCTGGAGGGGGAAGGAGGAGAGGTAGGAGTCAAGGGGTCAATGGGTATGAATAAGGGGACATCTGTAATATTTTCAACAATAAATAAATTTTTTAAATGAGTCCTGGTAATATTCCACATGGATAAACATTCATTTCTCTATACTTTGTTTCCTATTTCTAAATATTTTCATTCCTTCATGAAATATGACCTCCAATATCATGATCACTCCATTTTTAATTGGCTTTATTGTAGACTTTCTTGACTTCTTTTTCTTTTTAATAAATATTTTATTATTGAGAATATAGGAATGATCATGTCTACAAAATTTGGAAATTATAAAAAATATAAAAAGGAAAATCACAAAGACTCAGCCTTATAACCCGAAGAAATTACTACTAACATGTCAAATACTTTTTAAAAAAATCTATCCATGTTTTCTGTCTTCCCACATATTGTCATCAAGTACTCAAGTAAATTAGTGAGGCTTAAGTTCCTGTAACAGAAACCATTTATGCTTTGATTCATTCATTCTTTGAATTGTATTATTATTTTGTTATTATTTTAATTACAGTTATAACACATACAAAACACTTACTGTATGTCAGGAAATATAAGTGCTAGTGAGCAAAACCAGTAGTGGGCCTGCCCTCCCTGTGCTTATATGTGGAACAGGAGAAGATCTAAATACATAGATTGTTATATAATTACAAGTTTGATATATAGGGAAATGGAACCCTTGGAAGAGAAAGTGCTCACAGTGAGAAATCAAGTCAAAAAGTCCATTGCATTCAGCCATGTGGCCCGTGGAAACCTTATTGAGAGCTTAGTGACGATAAGGCACATTAAGTGAGTTGCAGAGGCTGCATACAGCCAGCACAGACAACCACATGGAGGAGCTGCTGGTGGTGAAGACAAGAAGGATACGCCTATATGTATGTAGCCTTGAGGCAAAGGGAAGGTTTGCTTGTTTGGTTTGTTTCCAAAGTATTTAAATGCCAGGTGGAGAAGTAAAGTTAAGGGTATAATTGAGGTGTCTCCTACTCGTAGGCATTCTGATTTAATCAATGCAAAGAGAGCCTGGGTATCAGGATATTATTTAAAAGTTTCCCAGATGATTCTAATGTGCAGCCGTATTTGAGATCACTGTTATATGTCATAATTGCCTATATGTTTAGTTTATAGTTATTACACCAGTTTTCCCAGTATCAACTCAATCTCAACATGCCAGTCTTCTGACAGATTCACATGGGACCAACCATTTCACAGACTCACGTCTTAGCTCCATCCTAGGGAAGTTATCTTCTGGTGTTAGTCTACATTAGCTTGTCAGCTCAGTTCAGAGCATCCTGTCTCCATGGAGAGGTTAATCTGCCTCAGTAGACAACTTAAAAATGGTCATCTTTTAACTATCTCTCTCACTAAAGACAAAGAAAAAGAATTCACTTAGTTTTTATCCTGCCTTGGTTTTGGTTCTTAGACAAATCTTTTAAACTGTGACCATATGGCATCACAAATTAGTACTAAGGTCATTCCTTTCCATTCATTCAGGGAATTTTTTTTTTGGAAGTTTCTAGCACCTCATGATTAATATTTGAATGTCATTTTAAAGTTTTAGAGATCATATTGTATCATATATACTATCTCACAAAATGATGCTGCAACTGGTTTGCAGAAGAAATAGAGGCCCAGAGAATTTACGTAATTTGCCCAAGATGGCAAATTAGGGCATGAGTGCAGATCCTCTGACGTGGTACCCACTGGCCTCTAAGGATGTCCTGGTTCCTCTTCAACAATGGCAATTATTTGACACAAATAACCCCGCCAGTAATTTATCTGAGTAAACTATACATTACATTATGTTTACAGAGAAGAAAAAGCAACAGCAATAACAACAGAAGGTGAGGGTGTAGAATCTCCCATGATAATGGCAGCTCCATCAGGAAGTAATGTTCATGGACCTTTATGTTGGTGGGAGAGGCAATTGGAAAGAGGATTCCTGCAGAAACAGCACTACTTGATAATCATGTAGATTCATATCATTTTAGAGCTAGAAAGAAATCCTAGCCAAAATCGCTCCTTCTATAGAGATGGGTAAAGTGGCATTACATATAATTAGTTCAGATCAAAGTTAATATGCAAATGCCTATGTCTTAAGTACATTGTGTGTTTTTTTCCACTTGCGTCAGAATAACAATTTAAATTATCTGAATATTCATACTCGAACACCATGGGAGAAAATAGAATCTATTTTTAAAGTGAGTATAAAGCTGTTCTAGAAATACTAGATTCTAGACTTACTGGCCAACATGGTAGCCACTAGCCACATGTAGCTATTTAAGTTTAAAGCCATTAAAATGAAATAAAATATAAAATTTTGTCTTATTCGTGATATCTTCCACTTCCCTTGCTCATTTGTTACATGTGGCTGTAACAAATTACTGAATTGTGCGGATTATAGGAGTTTACCTTCATTGCAGAAAGTTCCATTGGACATCACTGACCTACAGTCCAGATTATGCCATTCTCTAAACCATGAGCATCCATTCTACAGACCTAAGTGCAACATCAAAAGCCATTCAATTTTAATTATTGGGCATGTTGCCCACCATGGTTTAAAAGTCATAATTAGGAAGAAAAGGATAAACTCAGAAGAAAACAAGTTAGACTGTTCATACAGTAGGACTTCTACAAAAGGAATTTGCACCTGTCATAGTTACAATGCAACTTAGCATTAAGCTTCCTAAATAAGAAAAGGAAAAAGTTAAGAGAGTTAAGGGGTAATATTTAACAGTATTTATAATAATAAAAGGGTGATATGCTAATTAGACCAGATGTCTTCCGGGCGTCCTTGCTGAGGAAGTGGGGGAAGCCAGCCCGAGTCCCAGGTGCCTGCCGGAGGAGGGAAGCCTGGGTCCCGGGTGCCAGAGGGAAGCCTGGGTCCCGGGTGCCAGAGGGAAGCCAGTGCTGGCAGCCAGGGGAAAGAAGGCCTACGCTTGCACGAATTTTTGTGCATCGGGTCTCTAGTAATATTATAAAAAGAACCAATAATATTATTTTAAAGCTATGTAAATTAGGCAGCAGAGGGATGAACATGAAAACTACAGGAAATATGAAGTTTTATCTGAAACACAGCATCAACAACAAAACGAAGTGTCCCTTTGGACTGTCTGTGTTTGTGTGATGTGTACAGATGAGTATGTCTGTGTAAGTCTCAAAGCAGAACAATACGATTTGTCTCCAAATTTTCTCAGTTCCTCTATAATTCCCATTTTATTTTTATTTCAGATCAATGGCGGAGAGAAGCGACCTGCCTCTGACATGGGGAAAAAACCAAAAACCCCCAAAAAGAAGAAGAAGAAGGACCCTAATGAGCCCCAGAAGCCTGTGTCTGCCTATGCATTGTTCTTTCGTGACACTCAGGCCGCCATCAAGGGCCAAAATCCAAATGCGACCTTCGGTGAAGTCTCGAAAATTGTGGCTTCAATGTGGGACGGTTTAGGAGAAGAGCAGAAACAGGTAAGATGCAAAATGGAGTGGGAGTCACCACGACTTGAGAAAGTGTATGCAACCCAAAGAAATGGCTTCTGAGGATGTTGGGCGAATTCTTCAGCTGCTGGAACTAAGGCTGAGAAGAATGTGCCCCATCAGAACCAGATTTCAGGAGTCTTTTTCTTTCACAGAATTTTATACTCCTTTATTGCCCCTCTATAAATAGCATGTTAATCTTTGTTTCAAAGTTTACATAGTGCAGTTACTTTTGGAAGGACTTTTACATATCCCAGCCAGAATTACCTCATTCCTTCATCTTGCCAATGTGATCATAAAGACTAAAAAAGTACTAAAAGTATTTTCAAAACTGTCCACACCTCTCCTCAGCACTTACTATTTACCCTTTTGTCATCAAAACCCTCTTTGCTCTTTGCTAAATGAACCTCAAATTTAAGGGTTTCTACCCTTAGCGATTCCCTAAAGACTGCCAGGGAATGTTATTATTAAATCCCACAGACACCATATTTCTAGGCTGCGTTAAATGGGACCAGATGCCTGCTTTTTTTCTTCTCTCGCGGATTGCCATGATGTGACTGAGGACCATACTTAGGGAGGCCACATGAGACAACTTTGCGTCTCAGCCCAGAAGGTCTTAAGGAGGATGGGAACCGAGGAGGGAGAGCAAGTGTCCAGTACATAGATGTAGCCCACCTCAAGCAGCATTGATCTCATAATTCTAAACCAGAGACTAGATTACCATTGCTAACATCTAGAATTTAATTGTCACAAAGAAAAAATTAGAAAAGCATTATCATTAAAGTATAGTTATTGAAACAATTCTGTGGATGCAGCTTTAGCTATTACAGAATAGTGAATTGCATTAATGATGTATTAGTTCCATATTTGATTCTTGATAGAGACATTTACCTTTCTTCATCAGGTCCAGGAAAGTATGTAAAAACCAGAAAATCTCAAACCTATGTACATCTAGAAGTACCTGTATATTGTAAACACATATCAACATTTATGGTGTATATAGTGTTTTATCCTTTTAAGAATGTTATCACATGATTTATCCCATTTGTTCTGCTCAATACTTGTAGACACTTTAATTCAAATTTTGCAGATTATGAAATGGGGCTAGATAGTTCAATTCATTCACTTATTCTTTCAACAAATATTTGTTGAGTATTTACTATGTGCCCCAGGCACTGTTCTAGACACTGGGGATATAGCAGAGAATGAGGCAGAGTTTCTATTCTGTTGAGTGATTTGTCTAAGATTATATGGTTGGTACATAGAATTCCTGTGACTAGAACTTATCACTCAACATACACTTCTTGTCTGACAAACTCTGACATCAATTACAGTTGTAATGACAAAACCAGGTGCTAAGGAAACATAGAACCTACCTCCCCACTTCTCTCCAACCTCCCTTTGCTCTAAGCCAAAGCTGTCTTTTACTCTTGGAACTCTCTCTACATATTCTTATGCCCTTTCCACGATTGTCAGCCGCAGGGCATGGCTTCCTAGGCCTCTCATGTGGAGCACCATGCTGCCCGGATGGAACACACACTCCTGGAGCCTTCTCTGCGCGCTCAGTTAAACACCCATTTCCCTAATACGAGAATAGTTGACATTGTGTTTGTGATTCTATCAAAAACCTAATAGAGTTGGTTCAGGATTTTAGAACTGGTTTCTATCCTAACTCAGATCAGTGTGCTCTCACAGTCCCAAAGCGGAGGTGTGGCTCCTGACTGATGCTGGCCATTCACAGTAAAAGTGTTGCAGTGACTTCATTCCTCCACCCAGCAGAAGGTCGCTAAATGGGAAACGGTGCACTTGGACCAGGAGTCCCAAAGCCGCTCCTGCGCTCTGGCTTTTGTGATGGCAATCCCTCCCTGCTCCACCCAGGATGCCACACACTCCAGACATACCTCTCCCTCTGCTTTGATAGCCCCTGACCCTCTCCCCCCACCCCTGAC